CTTCGTAACGTTTCGGTCTAACCGAGATGAGCGAATCGGTCCCACCGAGTTTTCCTGACCAACTCTCTGTTTGTCTATTACCAAAATCGGTCCCATCGAGTTTGTGTAATCGGTCTCACCGAGATTATGTTATGCCCTAAACCTAATGGAATTGGTCCCACCGAGTTGACATGTCGGTCCCACCGAAAATCCTAACGTTCACATTTTGAACTAAGTCGGTCTGACCGAGTTTTATAATTCGGTCCCACCGAGTTTGGTGATTTGTGTGTAACGGTTAGATTTTGTGTGGAGGCTATATATACCCCTCCACCCACTCTTCATTCGTGGAGAGAGCCATCAGAACATGCCTACACTTTCAACATACATTTTTTGAGAGAGAACCACCTACACTTGTGTTGAGGTCAAGATATTCCATTCCAACCACATAAATCTTGATCTCTAGCCTTCCCAAGTTGCTTTCCGCTCAAATCATCTTTCTACCAAATCTAATCCTATGAGAGAGAGTTGAGTGTTGGGGAGACTATCATTTGAAGCACAAGAGCAAGGAGTTCATCATCAACACACCATCTATTACCTTTTGGAGAGTGGTGTCTCCTAGATTGGTTAGGTGTCACTTGGGAGCCTCCGTCAAGATTGTGGAGTTGAACCAAGGAGTTTGTACGGGCAAGGAGATCGCCTACTTCGTGAAGATCAACCCTAGTGAGGCAAGTCCTTTGTGGGCGACGGTCATGGTGGGATAGACAAGGTTGCTTCTTCGTGGACCCTTCGTGGGTGGAGCCCTCCGTGGACTCGCGCAACTGTTACCCTTCATGGGTTGAAGTCTCCATCAATGTGTCTACATTGCGTTTGCTCCCTCCAAACTCCTCCCTTTACCTTCATATGCAATTGTTTTACATTCCACTGCTATACTCTTAGGATTGCATGTGTAGGTTGATTGCTTGAATTGTGCTAAGTTGCTAAAATCTTCCAAGACTTAAAATTAGGAAAAGGCTAGATTTTTATTTGGTCAAGTAGTCTAATCACCCCTCCTCTAGACATACTTTCGATCCTACACCTATGTGCTTCACTTATATCTTTTGAGCTAGGTAGTTGCTCTAGTGCTTCACTTATATCTTTTTAGAGCACGGCGGTGGTTTTATTTTATAGAAATTGTTGAACTCTCATGCTTCACTTATATTATTTTGAGAGTCTTTCTAAACAGCATGGTAATTTGCTTTGGTTATGAATTTAGTCCTAATATGATGGGCATCCAAGAGGAATATAATAAAAACTTTCATATAAAGTGCATTGAATACTATATATGAGAAGTTTGATTCCTTATGATTATTTTGAGATATAAAGATGGTAATATTAGGGTCATGCTAGTGAGTAATCGTGGATTGGTAGAAATACTTGTGTTAAAGTTTGTGATTCTCGTAGCATGCACGTATGGTGAACCGCTATGTGATGAAGTCGGAGCATGATTTATTTATTGATTATCTTCCGTATGAGTGGTGGTCGGGGACGAGCGATGGTCTTTTCCTACCAATCTATCCCCCTAGGAGCATGCGTGTAGTACTTTGTTTTGATAGCTAATAAATTTTTGCAATAAGTATGTGAGTTCTTTATGACTAATGTTGAGTCCATGGATTATACGCACTCTCACCCTTCCACCATTGCTAGCCTCTCTAGTACCGCGCAACTTTCGCCGGTGCATTAAACCCACCATATACCCTTCCTCAAAACAGCCACCATACCTACCTATTATGGCATTTCCATAGCCATTCCGAGATATATTGCCATGCAACATCCACCATTCCGTTTATTATGACACGCACCATCATTGTCATATTGCTTTGCATGATCATGTAGTTGACACCGCATTTGTGTCAAAGCCACCATTCATATTTTTATACATGTCACTCTTGATCATTGGACATCCCGATACACCGCCAGAGGCATTCATATAGAGTCATATATTGTTCTAGCATCGAGTTGTAATTCTTGAGTTGTAAGTAAATAAAAGTGTGATGATCATCATTATTAGAGCATTGTCCCATGCGAGGAAAGGATGAAGGAAGCTATGATTCCCTCACAAGTTAGGATGAGTCTCCGGACTTTACAAAAAATAAAAGAGGCCAAAGAAGCCCACAAAAAATATAAAAGAGGCCAAAGAAGCCCACCAAAAAAAGAGAGAAAAACAAAAAAAGAGAAAAAGAGAGAAGGGACAATGTTACTATCCTTTTTCCACTTGTGCTTCAAAGTAGCACCATGATCTTCATGATAGAGAGTCTCCTATGTTGTCACTTTCATATACTAGTGTGAAATTTTCATTATAGAACTTGGCTTGTATATTCCAATGATGGGCTTCCTCAAATTGCCCTAGTTCTTCGTGAGCAAGCGAGTTAGATGCACACCCACTTAGTTTCTTTTTGAGCTTTCATACACTTATAGCTCTAGTGCATCTGTTGCATGGAAATCCCTACTCACTCGCATTGATATCTATTAATGGGCATCTCCATAGCCCGTTGATACGCCTAGTTGATGTGAGACTACCTCCTTCTTTTTGTCTTCTCCACAACCATCATATTCTATTTCACCTATAGTGCTATATCCATGGCTCACGCTCATGAATTGCGTGTATGTTGAACAAGTTTGGGAACATTAAAAGTATGAAACAATTGCTTGGCTAGTCATCGGGGTTGTGCATGATTTAATACTTTCTATGATGAAGATGGAGCATAGTCAGACTATATGATTTTGTAGGGATAACTTTCTTTGGCCATGTTATTTTGAGAAGACATGATTGCTTTATTAGTATGCTTCAAGTATTATTGTTTTTATGTCAATATTAAACTTTTGCTTTGAATCTTATGGATATGAATATTCTTGCCACAATAAAGAAGATTACTTGGATAAATATGTTAGGTAGCATTCCACATCAAAAATTCCGTTTTTATCATTTACCTACTCAAGGACGAGTAGGAATTAAGCATGGGGATGCTTGATACGTCTCCAACGTATCTATATTTTTTATTGTTCCATGCTATTATATTATCTGTTTTGGATGTTTTATATGCATTTATATGCTATTTTATATTATTTTTGGGACTAATTTATTAATCCAGAGCCCAGTGCCAGTTTTCGTTTTTTCTTGTTTTTGAGTTTTACAGAAAAGGAATATCAAACAGAGTCCAAAAACGAGCTGAAAATTTATGGTGATTTTTTATGGACCAGAAGAAGCCCACGAAGCACAAGAGTTGGGCCAAAAGAGTCCCGAGGCAACGACAAGGGTGGAGGGTGCGCCCCTAGGGCACGCCCCCTGTCTTGCCGCTACCTCGTGGACCCCCCTGACGTGAAACCGACGTAAAAAATTCCTATAAATCCTGAAACCCCCAGAAACAAATCTACATCGAGAGTTCCGCCAGCACAAGCCTCTTTAGCCACCAAAAACCAATCGGGAGCCCATTCCGGCACCCTACCGGAGGGGGAAACCATCACTGGTGGCCATCTTCATCATCCCGGTGGCCTCCATGATGAGGAGGGAGTAGTTCACCCTCGGGGCTGAGGGTATGTACCAGTAGCTATGTGTCTGATCTCCCTCTCTCTCGTGTTCTTGATTTGGCACGATCTTAATGTACCGCGAGCTTTGTTACTATAGTTAAATCATATGGTGTTTCTCCCCCTCTACCTCCTTGTGATGAATTGAGTTTTACCTTTGAGGTTTCACTATTATCGGGTTGAATACTATTATGGATTTGAGAACACTTGATGTATGTCTAGTGCGGGATACCCGTGGTGACAATGGGGTGTTTTATTGATTCACTTGATGTATGTTTTGGCACTCAACTCGTGGATTCCCGAGGTGTTGGGGTAATCTATGCATAGGGGTTGATGCACGTTTTCGTCCTTGATTCTTTGGTAGAAATCTTGGGGCACTCTTTGAAGTTCTTTGTGTTGGATTGAATATTATGAATCTAAAGTTGTTTGATGCATATCGTATAATTGACCCGCGGATACTTGTGGTGACATTGGAGTATCTAGGTGAAATTAGGGTTGATTGATGTGTATAATATGGAGTTATTTTACTATGAACTCTAGGATTGTTTATGACACTTATAGGAATAGCTCAATGGATTGATCGGAAAGAATAACTTTGAGGTGGTTTCGTACCCTGCAAGTAATTTCATCTTATGTTCTCTGCGACAGGAACTTTGGAGTGACTTTTGTCGCATGTTGAGGGATTTCCATATGATTTAATTATGTTATCATTGTTGAGAGAATTTGGACTAGTGAAAATATGAACCCTAGGCCTTGTTTTCAAGCATTGCAATACCCTTTTTGCTCACTTTTGTTACTAGTTAGCTTGCTGTTTTTATATTTTGAGATTACAAAAACCTATATCTACCATCCATATTACACTTGTATCACCATCTCTTCGCCGAACTAGTGCGGCTATACAATTTACCATTGTATTGGATGTGTTGAACACAAGAGACTCTTTGTTATTTGGTTGCAGGGTTGTTTGAGAGAGGCCATCTTCATCCTACGCCTCTCATGGTTTGATAAACCTTAGGCCATCCACTTGAGGGAAAATTGCTACTGTCCTATAAAACTCTGCGCTTGGAGGCCCAACACGAGTCTACAAGAAGAATGTTGCGTAGTAGACATCACACGTTAGTTACCCACTACCGGCGAGTTGGGCAGCCCTCAAATGACGCGGTAACTCAGTCAAAACCTCTAACGTATGTGGAAAGCAGTTTCTACTAGGGTGAGGCAGGAATTAAACGGTTTTGAGACTTTGAGGTTGTGTGGTAACTGGTTTTTTGAGTGCATGGTTGAACCATGAACCATCTGGTTCGTTGAGGGTTGGAAATTGGATATCTCAAGCATAGATAAACATATGCACATGGTTAACTCATGAGTCTTATTTCTGTTTTACGAAATACATCTGGTGAAGTTTCAACTTTCAAGCAAATGCATAAACCATGACACGACAATAGGTGAACAACAATGTCCATTCACTCCAGGACAGGTGGCATACGGTAGAAATACGGAACACGACAAGGTTCCTCCTCCGCATTAAGGATTCCTGATTTCTCATATGACTCGACGCTATCTGCAAGTGTCTCCTCCAACTTCCTCGGTTTCCATCCTAGATTCTTAAGTTTATGTGAATTCATCCCAAGCTTATAATTCACATCAACCAGTCTAAACAAAAAAAAGTGGTGAAAATCTGGTGGAAATAATAACCACATAACTACAAACATGAAAGTATGCTGATATGACTTACTTGTCTACATAGTTATAGCTGGGGTACATGCTCTTCATCAAATCCACCAAATCTTTTATGTCGATTTGGTGTTCTGAACATATGTACCTCTGATATGGTCCTGCCTTGTTGTATAACAGCAGTAGTGCATCAGCAACATCACGGACGTCTACTATGGGCCAGAATTTGTTATTTATTGTGTCAGGACCTCCTGCAATTAATCCAACTAATGGAGATATAATAGGGTAAAAAAGAAGAAGAAAATAATTTATCTATTTCTTAAACTCCTCTGTTGAACTAATGTAGTACTAATGTAATCCTTGGGATAAATGAGAAGAGAAATGTTGAGAAAACATGATGAATAGATCACCACTAAACCTTTTATGATATAGCGGAGGAATTTGGTGGTAATATTGAGCACATCAGCCTGCAACAGTGGGCCAAAGACCGCACCGGAGCAAAATGTAATGACATGTAATCCATTTTTCTTTGCGTATTCGAGGGCCATCTCTTCAGCTTCCGTCTTGGCAAGGGCATACCAGATCTGCCAGAAGTAAGTTAGTCCTCCTACCCTAGTACCTCTCAACGGCCATCTCTAGGAATAAGTTACAAACCATTTATAGATCTTGCACAATTTTAGGATTTATGAAATATAAAAAATATTGTATTTTCACATAAAGAAACTAATTAAGGTACACATCAACATGTTTTCATGTGTTCCGTGGTGCATGAATATCAATCTCTCTGGAGACTTGGTGCATGAATATCTTATAATTAATCATCGTTGCTAACCTCATTTTCCTTGCAGAACTCTTTGTCTGACCAACAATTCTCATCTTTCAGTTTATCTAGAGGCCAATTTGGGTTCAAAGTAATAGCAGCGCCGGATGAAACCACAATAAGTTTTTGAACGCTCATAGCAGAGCAAGCCTCAAGTACATTCATGGTGCCATTAACAGTAGGAGCCATCATCTCTTTCTGCACAATTCAAACTTAGGACCTTATTAAGAATTACATGTGTACCTAAGAAAGAGTGAGCTTGTAATACTTATAATCTTACTTGACCTCATAAAAAACATATTTACATCCTAAGAAAATGTTATTATGACCAGGCCTAATGTTGTTGCAGGTATAGATTGAAAATGTTGAATACTACTTTTCACCACTACCTGTGTAGTGCTGAAATATATTTTTTACCACCCTCCTTATCTTTACCCATAATTTGTGCATCATTTTGTCGTTTACTTGACATAAGGAATATACACATTCTGAAAGAGTGCCCCGTCTAACATGACCATGCGGCTCCTAACGTGGCCATGTCAACATTTTATGAACATAGTAACTAATTAGATTGAATAAAATTTATAACTTTCCCTCACTTACTTTAGAATGAATGTTTTTATCCTAGAAATCATTACAATTATTCTCTATATTACATTTTTTTCTTCATATTTCTTTCCGATTTAGAATTGAAATGCAATCTACTAAGTCTTAATGAATTAAACTAAGATCAAATTCAAACCATTTTTCTTTCCAGAATTCCTAATTTGTTGTGCACAAATAATACATTTTTTTACTGAGTTTTGATTTCTATTTTTGGTTTGTATCTTAAATTTAAATCTAATTTTTAGTTTAATTTGAAATGTGTTAATTTTACTACGTCAATTATATTTCATGTAAATGATCGTAACAACAAATTACTAGATTGTAAGATTGAAAATCAGCCAACCAGCCTCAAGTGAATGTATTTCATTGCTTGCCTCTTTATCAACCATCTTGTCTATGGGCACTGGAGAGGCAAGATGGAAGACACCATCGCACCCGACAAACGCAGTTGCCACTGCGTCGTAGTCAAGCATGTCTGCCTTGAACAAACGGAGATTTTCCAGGGCCTTGTCTAGTTGTTTGAGACGTGCATTCTTTGGATCACCTAAGATAGAAGTTATTAACAATTATTCACCTATACGAGGAGTGTGAGTACATGATAAGAACATCCGCACCCGAATTACACTCTTAGGCCATGCGGCCATATACTAGTTCAAATTCCATGAAACACAAGGACCAATGGCTTAGCTTGCACACGCCAACTCAAGTATCGTGTACTTTTGTTCTAGGAACCCTTTCAAGTGCTTATGAGAATATAATTCTATCTAAGTCAGAATTTATATTACACAAGAATGAAAACCTATCATGAGCAAGAAGGATATGCACTGGAGTATAATTAAACACGGAGATGATAACAGGCGTACAAGAAATGAAGACGAAGCTTACAGTAAAGACTCCAGGACTTCAGGCCAGTTCTTTTGGTGGCTTCTAAAATAAGCTGCAATGAACTGCCCCCCTACCTAGCTTATTTAGAAGCCCAAACAAATTTATTTTTTAGAAACCTAGTAGTTAAGACTTGACTAGTAGGTTTCTAAAAAGAAAATTTTGGTTTGGCTTCTAGAATAAGCTAGGTAGAGGGTAGCTTATTCTGGCCCAAAAAAGCTAGCAAAAGAACTGGCCCTTCAAAGCCACCATAATGACTGTGAGGACATGAATGAAATATACAATATGAAACTTATA